ATTTAGCTGCCGTTCGACTAATTGAAATGGAGAGACATCAAGTATTTATAAACGCGGTTAACAATCTTTGATTGCCTCATACTGTGTAAATCTACATTTTAAAGATTGACATGTAACAATTCCAAATTACTGCATTTGCCGTTGGCGTATGACCTTAAACTCTACGAATTTATGTTTTCCTGCAGCTGTAATCGATTTCGCTCTATCTATACTTTGCTAGAGAAAAAAAGTACCTTTATCTACAATAAACCTTCGATATAATCTTCATTGTCATTCAGGTTAAAGCAAATATAAAACAGCAAATAAGTATATTTCTTATCTAAAGACTTCAGATGTTTTGTTTTAATACTGCCTGTAAAGAATAAGCCAGACATTAAAGAGTAATCTTTTTGTTTGTCATTCTTCACTCTTTCAATGACAGTTTTTCTGTTGTTGTTTTTTCTCTGTTCCCTAGGATGAGCTTAATGTATAAATCTTTTTATATTTAGGAATTACAATTCGACTCCGAGATTTCATGCTTATTGAACATTTTTTTTTTTTTTTTTTTTTAAAAAAAAAGATTGTCTTGAAACCTTCGTTTCGATTCCTGAGTTTTCTTTAAAAATGTGTTTTGCTTCATTTAATTATAATTAAAAAATATGCATTTTAGTATTGAAAAGTTATCAATATATTAACTAATTATAAAACTCAAGATTCATGTCTAGTTTACCTTTTTCTTTTGATAAAGTTAGGGAAAGCGATTACCCTTAAGGACAGATGATTAAAAAAAAATGGATGTCTGGATTTGTATATATTTTTTACCCAATGTCATAGCAAATCGTGCAAATAATAGATTTCTAGACTATAAAGAAATTGTAAACCTTCTGTGATGTTCAAAATTCTACCCTTCTGAAACCATTCTTATTATTCTATACAAATATTTTTCACTTCAATTTCCATTTTTGTGCAATTTTGAATAAAAAAATAAAAGAAGAAACTACGTGGTGAAACGCCTTCATTTTAATCATTAAAACATGACCCAAGTCGTTATTTTCAAAATTTTTGACAAAAATTTGTTTGTATCATCTGTCCTTAACTTTGACAACTTTATTATTATAAAATTATTATATGTCAGCAGTAGATAATTTTTCAGTAGATAAATATTCGTGGTTTTGGCAATTTATTTGAGGGGACAAGATTGAAAAAAAAGGAATGTTGTCTGATTTATTAAACACTTTTCAACCATTGTTTCAAAAATTGTTGCATTCTCACATACTAACATGTTAGCAGGCGTTCGATTGTTCACTGTTTTAATGTCCCTTCTGAACTTTTACTTTCAGATTGAGATGCCACCGTCTGCCGGTCGAGGGCTGTAAATTACATGATTAAGACCTATAATCGGTATTTACTTTCTTTAAGTTGTAAAAGACCATTTCTTGGAAGCTCTTACAGGGATTTGTGATCTCGATTCATATGACAAATTAAGAGAACTAGTCTAGAATGTCAAGCAGTGGACCTGAACCCGAATCATTATTTCGAGTTACGAGTTTAATTTGTTATTCTTCTAATTTTAGAGTCACCTTCTGATACAATGGTCAAAATTGTTGCACTCTCACATACTAACATGTTAGCAGCGTTCGATTGGCCGCTGTTTTATTGTCACTTCTGAACTTTTTCAATCATACTGAGATGCCACCGTCTGTCGGTCGAGGGCAGTAAATTACATGATGAAGACCTATAATCGGTATTTACTATCTTTAAGTTGTATAAGGAGACCCTTTCTTGGAAGCTCTTACAGGGAATCGTTATCTCGATTCATATGACAAATTAAGAGAACTAGTCTAGAATGTCAAGCAGTGGGATCTGAACCCAAATCATTATTTATACTATTTATTTATTGATTGTATGTTTTTAACGTCCCTCTTGAGATTTTTTTTTCACTCATATGGAGACGCCACCCATTGCCGATAGAGGGCTACAAATTTTATCTTTTACCCGACACTAAGGGCCATTTAGCAGTGAGGGAACACCTACTGCAAATCAAGACCTCGGTTTAAACGGTCTCATCCGAAGAACCGAAGCTGCAAAATTTGACCTACATTGTATACTCGGCATTTAGGGTCTTTTTAGTGCCAGCATCTACTGTGACACGGGACCTAACTTTATACGTTTTCATTCGACGGACCGGTCACCGCGTGTCACGGATTCGAGCTCGTCAACTTCTTACTTCGCAACTCCAGACCCTTCCACTGCGCAAAGCGGGCGACAGAAATGGCATGTTGACAATGGTTTCATAACTTTAATATTTTAAAAATAGCTAGTGAGAGGTTTAAAATATATAGAGATGAGTTAAAAACGAGTGCACCATATTGATAATGAAAAAATCCTTGCCTTGCAGCAATTGACAAAACGGAACGGTATGATTATCTTGATATTCTAAACAATATTTCTATAACAGGTTGAAAATTCAAACAAAAAATAAAAATTTACTTGATTTTTATACTATGTCATTTTTGATAAGATCTGATTTATATTAAAAAATTTACAGCAGATTTAAAAATAATTTTGGATGAAACCTTGCAACTTGTAAAAATTTTGATATCAAACTAGGTCGACATGCATTAGTTGTAATCTTGATATGCTTTTCACATTCCAACGTCTAATATCATTATACTTCTTTTTTTTATTTTCACTGAGCAGTACTTAATTAGAATGGTTTGGGTGTTAACAAAATTAAAAAAATAATAAACTAAATTAATCAAATTAAAACCGAGTATCATCGATATTTTAACAGAAAAATTTTAATTACAAATTTTGTTTTAATTCTTCTATCAAGTTGAATTTTAATTGACCTATTTCGTACTCATTCTTCGGTCATTATTTTCTCACTGAATAGTGTAAGGAATTTTCACTGTGGGACGTGGAGACTTGTCCTTCAGATGAGTCTGTTTAAACTTAAGTCCTGTGTCACAGTAGGTTCTGTCACGAAACAAGAGGCCTAGAGAACACAGCGCTCACCTGAGCACATCAGGCTTGAATTTACTCCACCCCCCTCCAGGCGTTCATCATTTGAACAAACTAGAATCTACACTACCTGAGGATGATTCCATATAAATATCACTAATCATAGCTTTGATTTTAAAAGGTTTCCCTATATATCCCTATGTAAAACTTGGGTCGGCCATTTTGGCCCCACCCTAGCCCCGGGGGTCATGATTTGAACAAACTTGAATCTACACTATCTGAGGATGATTCCACATGAGTTTCATCTTTCCTGTCCTAGTGGTTCTTGAGAAGAAGATTTTTAAAGATTGTTCTTATATATTCCTATGTAAAACTTCGGCCATTTTGGCCCCACCCTAGCCCCGGGGGTCATGATTTGAACAAACTTGAATCTGCACTACCTGAGGATGATTCCACATGAGTTTCATCTTTCCTGGTCCAGTGGTTCTCGAGAAGAAGATTTTTAAAGATTTTCCCTATATATTCCTATGTAAAACTTGGGTTGGCCATTTTGGCTCCACCTTTGCCCCGGGGGTCATGATTTGAACAAACTTAAATCTGCTTTACCTGAGGATGATTCCACATGAGTTTCATCTTTCCTGGCCCAGTGGTACTGGAGAAGAAGATTTTTAAAGATTTTTCCTATGTATTCCTATGTAAAATTTGGGTCGGCCATTTTGGCCCCACCCTTGCCCCGGGGGTCATGATTTGAACAAACTTGAATCTACACTACCTGAGGATGCTTCCACATGAGTTTCATCTTTCCTGGCCCAGCGGTTCTGGAGAAGAAGATTTTTTAAAAATGCCATTAATTTTTAACAAATTCATGATTATCTCCCCTTAGAAAAGGGCGTGGCCCTTCATTTGAACAAACTTGAATCCTTTTCACTCAAGGATACTTTGTGGCAAGCTTGGTTGAAATTGGCCCAGTGGTTCTTGAGAAGAAGATGAAAATGTGAAAAGTTTACGCCGACGACGCCGACACCAACGACGACAGACGACGGACAAATTTTGATCAGAAAAGCTCACTTGAGCCTTCGGCTCAGGTGAGCTAAAAACGAAAAAAGATTCATAACTGCTCAAGCGGCCAGAGTGCCAAGTAAATGACAAAATTTTCAGCTCTGAAAAAACAAACAAACAAACATTCAAACAAATAAATGTTTTTTTCCTGTTTACCCCATCTCATCAAGTAGTACATGGATGATCGATAAAAAAAATAGCCTATTCCTCGACATGATCCCATCTACAATGATTTTAAAGGTTTGTGATTGCTCTTTTCATAATTCATATTGCTTCATTGAAATTGCAGCAGGTTTACTGATCTTTATCCTCATATTTCATAAGATTTGAAGCTTTTATGCATCTTCCTCTGTAAATCTATTTAATCTTTTGATGAATTTATGGCATTGTGTTGCTTAATGAAACTGTTTTGGTCTTTTCTTTTATGCATCTTTTTATAATAACCCCCCCCCCCCCCCCAAAGATTAAAAAAATGCATCAATAAATCGTAATCTTTTTTATTCCATAGTCTTCCTGCAAAACGACTGAGCGTGTTTTTAGATAAACGCAGACTAAAACAAATAGCACCATGTAGACCTGAAATATGACAAACAAAATTAGGACAAGACAAATATAGGGTATTACACATTCGAGGCAAAGCATTGTACGATATAACCCCCACATTTTAATAACAGTAACATGATGTACATAGGTAGTAAGGGGGCATTTTTTCGTTGTTGCAATTTGATCATGTATTCAATTTGGCAAAATCGTCTGTTATAATTTCTTCTTTCTTATCATTGAATTTAATATTTCTTCCTTGAAAATTATTTTATATGAATATTAAGCGTTCTTGTTGAAAAACATTTGTACATGTACAATCTTCAATGTTGCGAGTCAATTTCATGTTTTAAAACATTATATTTTTTTAGTAATGTTAATATGTATAATTTGTGATTTTTAAATGTCTAGCGATCTAGTATTATCTAAATATTCCCTGGTATGAATATATAATTTACCTCTTTTCAAATGAGGCCCGAATAACATTTTTCTGAGACATTTTATCTGCTCTTTGTCTCGTCTTCTTTCTTGTTCCTCCAAACTTATGACCACCTGTCCCTGAAAAAGAAAACGGACTACTTATTAAGTTAATGTGAGACGCTGTCTTAAGGTTCATAAACCCTCTGCTCATTTATATAAAATGTTGCTTGAACCTTAATGATTTTCCAAAAGAAAACAATTATAACATAGCTTTCTGGGCAAAATTGGACAAAAAAGACACTACAATTTGGCAAATCTATAAAGGAATAATAGACATATTTGTCATTAAGAGTTTTCTCTCTTATCAGAGTATCAATGAACCTTAATTTCGGTTTGTAAGGCTTACTGAGCAAGAAAAGGTTGTAACTTAAATGTATAGAATTTAATATAAGCAAAAATATTTTATTCATCTCCTCATATGCTGAAATATGTTGAATTTTTTTTATCTACACCTCTCCAAGGTCAATAAATAAGATACCATATCGAAGCACTTGTATAAAAAGCTACTTAGGAATTATATTTTGATTAGTCTTAAGGGAATATATACGAAAGAGATATAATACAATCTGATATATATATACATCAATTAAATGTGAAATCAATAGAATTAGCGTCGATTCTATACAGTTGGTATTAGTGTCTTTGTATATTTTTTACAATAAGTTTGTAAAATCTAATGTCTATCCAAAAATCTGGATTTGAATTCAAATACCTGGATATGACGTAAAAAGTTGTCATGTGTTGTTGCCAAAATTGGCGACATCCTTTATTTAGTTTTGTTTACACACGTTGTTTATTTGTTTATGTTTTCGTTGGTTGATGTCATTGTGAAAATCGCTAATTTTTGTCTTTCAAACTAATTCCTTTCAAAGCAGTCTCAATTGTCTTTTCACGCCAAAAATCTTTTACCATCGCTTTATAAACCTTTCAGGATCAATAGACTAGAGGCCACAGCAAAGAAGATAAGAATGCTACTTAAATGAAAATCAAAGCTTTACGAAGAGATATTGAACAGGCTGACGTGGGAACATCAAAAAATGGAAAATCAGTAATGGAAGCGCGTCTCCAACAATAACTTTGAATTAAATAATGGATGTTATAAATCTATTGTCTATCCGGAAATCTTGATTTGAATTCAAATTTTTGAGTGTGACGTATGTGATTTGTTTATAATAAAAAGGCAGAAATAGAAGCTTTTTTCAATATAGCTGCGCCATGCGTTCTTCATTTTTACAATACACTCTTCTCAGATCAATACCGATGCAAATTTGACAATGATTAGACAATGGGATTAATAATTTGAGATGTTTGATTTTCGCAACATTTACGTCAAATGCTTCTGATGGAGCAAAAACCAGTTCTTTCTTTATTATAATTTGAACCAAAAAATTGGTTTGAAATAAAAGAAACATCCTTTATTTTAATTCTCCATCCAGTTGAAGTTATATTTTCCCTTCAGCAAAAAATATACGAGTACATTAGACAATGTTTCTAACGCATCACTCATTATTTCCATCTTTTTGTAACGAGGAAACCCTAATTGCTGTTTTGCTCACTCAAGCCAACCTATTAGTTGTCTTTATATCAATATCTTTAAATGTACTTATTATTTACAAACTACGAAGTCATTTTGCTATATTTATAAGCAGGTCTGCAAATATAAGTTGGTGTCTACCTACAGTTATTAGAAATGTTGTAACAACAATGGTGCCTCTATCTCTCTAATGATATCAATGTACCTATAATGAGTAGAACTTACTCATTGTGCGTTCGGCACCCAACACGAACAATGGTATTTCCGTGTAACAAAGAATTTTGACCCTCAGTAGTTGAATATTCAGTCCAAAGGTGTTTAATTAAGCCCTTTGTCCGTTGAAAATTGAGCTAGGCCGTAAAATTTGATCATGGAATCGTTTCTATATTTAACAGCATATTACACATGTTACACAAACTTATGTATTGATATTCATGACTTTGATTTGTTCGATCAATTAGTAAACACGTACTCTTTATATAGTTTTATATATTTATCAGAAGAAAAAAAAATCATGTTTAGATTAATATCAGCTGCGTCCATTTAAAAGTCACTTAGATATAATTCTTGGGAACTTTAAATGAACGACAACACAGAATCTGCCACAACTGTATCAATATTGTAAGTTTAACTGACTATAGAAGATAAGGACACACTATCAGTAGAATAGTCTTCCCTCTTTCCTTTCTCAGAGTAGAATTTCCACAACTGAATTGTTTTTTAAATCGAAATGATTTTATCTTTAATTATCTTTTCCATCGTCAACTTGACTTAATTGTGAGGAAATATCCCACTTTTAGCCGTATATTGTATTTACATATCCCAATTTATTCAAGGACATGCTCCGAGTACGAGAAATCATTTTACTTACTGGTAGGTAAGTTGATATTAAAGGGATTACAGCAACCATGTTTAAAATAAGCATTACGTAAATTCTTTAATGGCTATATTGACCTTTTTCAGTTAAAAATATAACCTATCGTTGAGTGTTAAAAAATGGTGTCAAAAGTAAGGATGTCATGCATAAGATACCGTATTCTGATACACAATGAACCTATAATATTCGAGCAATATGCTTTTTTCTTTATTCTGGTGAAAAATGACAATTAATAAAATTGACAAGGATAAATTTCCAGTTTAAAAAACAGCCCAACGCTTTTTAGTCAGTTTTAAATGTCCTAAGGTCGTAAAAGACTTGGAGAAAAAACAAGCTGTGGAAACAAGACCCTGGATTTAAATTTGGACACTTTCTGCCTAAATTTTCAACTGTAAAAAGCACCTTGCTTCAACCTGCCATCACACTGACGTTGAAAAATTATCCATGGGCAAAATTTCAACCAGAATTCATTTTCATTTCATTTCATACGGGTAAAAATATCCCAGAATATCATGATAAGGTAATATTTAGCCTATTTATAGTACAAATGGAATTAAAATATTTTTGAGCATTTCTTTTTATTTAAGATACTTGAAATACAAATGGTAAGTATTAGCTAAGGATTGCCCATAAAAGCTTTTTTCAAAAAGCTTTTTTTAACGGGCTTCTAAAATTATAAATAGGTAGGTATCGAAAAATTACCTGAAAATAATTTACATAATGTATTTTGGCAGGGTACTTACAGTAATATAGCATGATGCTTTAAAATGAAATGTTTCTAAATTTACACATTTTTCTTTAAAATTATCACAGAATTGCTTATGAAATAGAAATTTTGACAAGAGATCTCATATCATTTCCTGTATTTGTGGCAAAAAGGGATCTTATAGCTTTCTCAAAGTTTTGCTCTTTGTTCAGTTCTCATCTCCTTGGGTCAATATCCAACATCATGGCTACAATCTTGCAAATGTAGTGTGGCTTACATCAAATGTCATTTTTTTCTCATTGGGGACATTTATACATTCCTTCATATGGTTAGTAAACCAATAGAAATGACAAATTCTTAGTTAATCTCTTTCAAATAGAAATCTCAGAACTCAAAAGTGTCGCCACTCATACACCACACCAACTATCCTACCAAGCTTTCCATAGTAAAACTGCAAAACAAGTATTTTTTTTCTTATTTTTTGAAAATAATTTTAAAATTGTAAACAGAATTCAAATTTGAAAAAAAAGCCTTGTTTACATTATGAAGAATTCTCAGTTCTGTATCTCCTTTGTAATTCAATATGTGATGTTCAAATTTTTGCTGATCAATAGAATTGCCTTAGTTAGGAATTGTAAAAATCAAAATTGGTAAAAAAAAAAGACTCAGTTGAAACTGTGTCCATGCCCCATTAAACTGAAGTTTTGTTTTCCAAGATATTTTCAAAATATGATTACATTTGTACCACGGGATACTCTGTAATTGGTTTAATTAATTGATTTATATAAAAAAGCATCTACAGTTATCAATTTTATACTAAAAAATAGAAGATGTGTACTTTTGTAAAATATTTAGATATTTGCATCCTTGAATTTCACGTAACCTCCAACATCAAGTGGCCTTTTATTCGGTCGAGAGATCTCCATTAACTCGCTTTTACTTATTACTAATGACCGGGATATAAGCGGAAGTTCATTGAAAGATAAGTCACAACTTGAAGAAGATAAAAGTTAGATTTTGACAGAAAACAGCATGCTTGTAGCGACACTATTCACAACTGTTTAATAAAATTCAATGAAAAAAAATACATATTTCGATTTTTCATTCATTAATATTTAATATTTGATACGACATACAGTCATGTATTTGTATATGACAAAAAATTGCACAGGACTGAATGGTCACTTAACCGTCAGGAAAATTGACTGAATGGCAGTGTTCTGTCATTCAATGACCTTTCATTGAACGTTCGGAGAAACTGAATGGCAGAATTTTTTTCTCTGTCGAAATGTCGAATAAAAGACAATATAATAGCTAACTTTACCTATCTTTTTATCAAAAGAAAAACAAACACAAAAACACCTACTCAAAATGACTGAATTTGACTGAAGAACACGCTGTAAATTACTTAGCCAATTTTTATATTTCACATAAAGGCGTCACGCTTAATCACAATCCACCGTTCCTACGTGTGTATGTACCTATATTACGCAAGCAACACGCTGGTGCGTTATCACTTAACATACCGTAACATAAACAAACATTGCTGAAGAGTAGCAGGATGCTGTATACAGATTTATAGGCGTGGCAGCGTTTTTCGGATCATTGTTTAAAGTTGCGTTAGCGCTACAACATATAGTTAACAAGAAAATACTTTGTAAATAAAGCGGCAGCGCTAGCATACACACGTCACCAAATATTGCCGATGCAATTTTTACAATTGCCCCAAAGCACTTTAAACCATCGATCTTGTGCAAAGTAAGAAGTAATTAAGGAAGCATTTCATTTTCACTTCGCGTTAGAGCGTTTTCACTTCGCACTGCATGTTAATATATACTAGCAAACGCGCTGGCGTGTTATAGCCCACTGTTACAAATTGCAAATAACAAAAGTTCAAAGTGACGTATAGCACCGTCGCTTTGTAAACAATTTTAAAATATGCTAGAAATATGTACCATATG